CCTCATCTTCACTGGCCTTGTTGTTAGCCATGCTTTCTAAGGTCCACTTGACTTCATTCTCCAGGATGTCTGGCTCAAGGTCAGCAGCCACACAATCTGGGTTGTCCGGGATATCCAAATCTTTTTGGTATAATTCCTTTCTTGCCACCTCTACCTTCTGCTTCTGTTAGGTCCCTCCAATTTTTGTCCTTTATCATGTCCATCTTTGCACAAAATGTTCCTTTAATATCTCCAGTTTTCCTGAACATATCTCTGTTTTTTTCCTTTTCTGTTATTTTACTCTATTTCTTTTCATTGTTCATTTAAGAAGGCCCTCTTGTCTCTCCTTGCTATTCTTTGGAATTCTGCATTCAGTTTTCTGTGACTTTCCCTATCTCCATTGCATTTTGTTTCCCTTCTCTTCTCTGCTATTTATAAGGCCTAGTTGGACAGCCACTTTGCTTTCTTGCATTTCCTTTTCTTTGGGATGGTTTTTGTTGCTGCCTCTTGTTCAATGTTACAAGGCTCTATCCAAAGTTCTTCAGGCACTCTGTCCACCAAATCTAGTTCCTTAAATCTGTTCTTCACTTTCAGTGTGTATTCATAAGGGATTTGGTTTAGATTTCTCTTTAGCCTTCTCAGGGCTCTTCACCACCCGCCTCTCCTCCTTCCTTGGCTTCACTTCCAGCAACTTCAGAGTTACCTCTTCAGCTATCGTCTCCTAGAAAGAAGAAGGTGAAAATGAAGCATCTGGCGCCATCTATTGGAGATTCCCGGTCTCCGAGAAACTCGGGACCGAAGGTCTCCCCCTCCGGGGCTCGACATTCTCGGCCCAAAAAGGCCAGAAAGCATGCGCCTAAGAAGGACATGCCACAGCTCAAACTCTCTAAGAACTATCTTAAACGGTGGCGGCAACAAATGCAGAAGCTGTATGACCCACGCCTCCTATACAGCCTCGCTGCGAGGGAGTCATCCTCCGATTCTTCCTCCTCTTCCTCGGATTCGTCTGAGGAGAGTTCATCAGAGAGAGTTTACCTGGACCAGAGGGCGGCTCTGGTACCAAAGAGGTCCAAACATAGCAAGTCACCGGAGGCCCCAGTACGCCATGGGCCACCTGTACCGTCCGCGGCGAAATCGGCATCGTCAGGCCCCTGTGTCGGTACCGTGCCTCACTGTCCCAACCCCGCCGGTACCATGGCATCCAAACGTAAGTGTGCGCACGGTAAAGCGCACCCGAAGCCTAAGAAGAAACATCATCAGGTCTCGTCGGATTCGGATTCCTTTCAACTGGACATAATTGGTACCGACCGCGACTCCGATACTGAAGATGTCCGCGGTACTGACCTTGGAGGTTGTCCCGATACCACGCATGCGATAGCGACCCTCTTCCGGGACATGCACCCAAAAGAGCAGTGCCTAGATCTTCTCCACCACGGCGCCTGCTCCCTGAGCCGTCCTCGTCTGATCTCTCAGATGTCCCGGTTGACTCTGATTCTGAAAATAGTTTTTCTGACGCTTCCGCTCCTAATGACAATACGCCTGATTCGGGAATCATTGATAAAATCCAGTTTCTCCTGCTGCGGATTTTCCAACCTATTCTCAGATGATTCACCGCATTGCTACTACTCTGAACTTCCAGTTGAAAGACCTCCAGAGATGGTCACTGATAAGGCCTATGGAGATATAGACGAAGACCAGAATCTTCCATTGCGCTTAGCTTTCATACTATCTTTGTTGAGAACTCTCAAACAACCATGGGATAAACCCTACTCCACTCCCCAGATGTCTAGGAGAGTGGAGAATCTGTATCGTACTCAGGGTTCTGAACTCGACTTTCTCATCAAACATTCCGCTCCAAATTCCTTAATCCTGGATGTTGCTCAATCTAAGCTCCGACCCAGTTCCACAGCTACACCTAATAACAAGGATAGAAGGAAGATGGATATTTTTGGCCGCCGCACTTATGCCTTTGCTTCCTTCGTGGTCAGGACTGCAAACTACATCGCAGCCATGGGTGCTTACCATCAACACCTCTGGAATAGGGCCTTACCATCTTTACAGGCCACTCCTGATGAACTCCAACCTAGAGGCCTCTCGTTACATCAAGAGGCTATGGCACTCATCCGTCAAGAGAGAATCACAGCCAGACACATACTGGATGCTGCTTCACGTAACCTTATGACGAGCATTGCTATGAGGTGTCAAGCCTGGTTAAAATCCACAGCAATTCCTGAGGATTCAAAGGCACGCATTTTGGACCTGCCCTTTGATGGATCAGGTCTCTTTGACCCCAAAACTGATGAAATTCTTAAAGGCCTTCATGAAGCTAAGAAGACTGCGTGATCCTATGCTGCACAACCGTACTACAAGCAGTGTTATCCTTGGAAATGCCAAACTTCCTTCACTTCTTCTCAGTCTGGGAAACCCTTCCAAGCCAAACAGAAGTATTATGCTGCCCAATCTGTTTACCCTACCAGACAGGATCAGCACCACAAATCGCGTCTCTCCTACAGGAAGTCGGACCGTAAATCCAAGCAGGGTCTTTGACTCCTCTTTTACCATTAACATCTCTTCTTACGCCACCCGCTTATCGCCCTTCCTCGCAAACTGGTGTCTAATTACTTCAGACAAGTGGGTTCTGTCATCGCCCACGGTTATGGAATAGAGTTTTTGGAGGTTTCTCCTCCCCGGATAGTCATCACTCCTCCATCACTACCTCTAAAGGAAGAAATAGACACCCTTTTGCAAAATGCGGCCATAACCAGAGTTTACCCC